GGCTGTCCCTCTGGGACAGAGCCCGGCACAGCGGGGAGCTGCCGAGAAGAGGGGGCGTGTCTGGAGGTCACTCCCGCCCCCCCCTCCAGACCCCCAGTCCTGGCCCCAAGCCGGTAGGATCCACCCCACCAGCCACTGGTGTCTCCAAGCCGTTCCAGCTGCAAAGCCTGACTGTTGACCCTCAGCGATAAGGGCCGGGCTCCTGGGTGTGATCGCTGTCCTGGACGTGGCCGCCGGGGCCTACGTGCCCAGACACCAGCCGCTGGCATTAGATTCCTCATTAACCCGGGAAGGCGGGGGGCACCCATCTGGCCAACCCTGTCCTGCAGGGCGCTTCCTGTTTTGTGAGGTTTGATCTGATGCCTCACTCATCGCTCCCACCCCACGCCCACCCGTGGTCTAACTATTTTATCCCCCCTGCTTGCTCGCAGCCCTCTAGAGGGCACATTACCGTTGCTGTCACCCCCTCTTCGCACAGTCACTCCCCCACCCCCTTCACCCCTTTTTAGGGTCTTCATTCAGGAGGCCGCCTCTCCCAGGTAAATTACAGACAGCCCTGGGGGACAGCACCGGTCACTTTTGTAAGTGTGGCCTGGCCGCCCAGCACCCCGAGCCCAAGTTCTCCGTCGGAGGCACGGGGCCCTTGGCCACCAGAGAAGCCAGGGCAGGGCTGCGCTGTGTGCTTGTACCGTTCTCCGCTGGAGAGAATGTTCCGCTCACCCCACGTGTCCCTACCTGACACTCATAGGTCAATCGACTGACCTCCATGAAGGTTTATTCCAAACAGAGTCTTTCTCGTGTTGACGGAAGGATCTGTTCCAAGTAAAAGTTATCCTAAAGAAGACCGTCCCGCCCCAGGACTGCGGGAGGCCCAGGAAAGGGATCTTCAGAGGCCCGGGAAATGAATGAAGCAGACAAAAGGGTGCTTGCTCTGGCAGTTTAGGGAGTGGGTGGGGGGAGCCCTTGTGGTTTTCTTTATTGGTTTGTATCTACTTGTCTCCTTCCAAAAAGGATCTGAAGGTGAAGTCTGGCGATTTCTGTTCTCTCTTCCCGATCCCCAGCCCCTGGCACAGAATGCATTAGTGAAGACGGCACAGAATGCATCGGCAGAACATTCTAATTCTAGCCCCTCACTGCCTCAGCCTTGGACAGCACCGTCTTGTTTTTGTTTTTTAAATATATTTTTTTGATTTTTTTACAGATAAGGAGAGGGATAGAGAGTTAGAAACATCCAGGAGAGAGAAATATCCATCAGCTGCCTCAGGCACACCCCCTACTGGGGATGTGCCCACACCAAGGTACATGCCCTTGACGGGAATTGAACCTGGGACCCTTCAGTCCACAGGCCAACGCTCTATCCACTGAGCCAAACCGGTTAGGGCAGCACATTCTTGTTTTTTAATGCCCTCTGTGGTAAACCAGCTTTGATCTGAGGGCCCCACCTTTTACCAGGTAAGCCTCCACACTCAGGGTGCCTGCTAAGCATCTCCCCACTCCACCTCCAAGAAAAATACCCCTGCAGGAGAACTTGAGGACATTGGCTATTTTGAGCATTCTCTAAAAATCAGTATTAAAAAGATCAACAATTTAAAAGAAGGCGGTGAACATTTTGGAGCTGTGTAGCCTGGTACAAGACCCTGAAGTGTCTGAGCCAGTTTTCACTGCTATTAAAAGGGAGTAAATATCTGGGTGCAGAGGTTATTGTAATGAACCAAACAGGCAAAAACCCTATCCTCATGGATCTTACACTCTAAAGAGGGTGAGAAAGACAGTGAACAAAATAAGAAAGTGTGAACCCTGACAAAGAAGGGCTCCTGCTGGCTAACTGGGCTCAAAGTAAAAAACAAACACCCCAATAACAGAGCCCACCAGCTATTCTAGGCAGAGGCCTCTATGCAAACTGCACTTCAAGGAGAGGCCTGCACTGAACGGTGTGCACTGTATTTCTGGATCTGAGCCAGCCCTTATGAAAAAGTTCTGGAAATCCTACTTCAACCAATAGGACTGAGGCTTTCCCCATCCAATCTGATTGCCACAGTTTCAGCTAATCAGAGCAGCTCTAATCTGACCAATCAGGACATTGCCTTTTGGACCAATCAAACTGCAAGAATTTGGAGTCCTCATTTGCATGACGACTGACCAATCAGGGACCAGGAGCTTGGACTTTTGTCCATAAAAGCCAGCTCCCAGCTGTGGCTCTGGGAGTACACTTTCTCTTTCCACCAAGGACTGAAGACTGTCTCTCCCTGGCTGAGCTGAAACACCGGCTGGAGATGTGTCCTTGGAGCAGACCGGAGCAGCCTGGCACGGCACAGAGCCTACCATACAACGCAAAGCAGGCTGGCCAGGAGCAAAGCCCCAGAGGGGCCTGGCCCCAGGGCTACCTCACAGCTGTGTTGTATACAATTGAGCTATAAAGTTTTAGTCTTCACTGCAAAAAAAAAAAAAAAATTGCAGAGAGAGGGAGGATAAGTAATAGGATTCAATGGTTAATAGTCGTAAAGTGATTATAACAGCAACTGGCACATAGGAGGCACTCAATACATGCTAGCTGCTTATTAAATAAAAAAAGCCAACAGGTGCAGGCTGTGGAGAAAGAGACTGGGCAGGAGAAGGGAAGGGCAGAGGTCAGAGGTCCCCGCACTATCATTCGCGTGTTAGTGTTATGACAGCACGTGTGTCAGAGAATCCCAGGTGGCACGCTAATCTTATACAGGAAAAGGTGAGCCAGGCACCGCCCACTTCCCCCTTTCTGCCTCTCACTGTCCTCAGACTAAGAAACCTCCCACACATGCACCAGGACCGCTAGCAGGACAGTCAGGGGAGAGAGGAAGCCTTAGGGGCATGGCGTGACTGTCAGGCTCAAGTATCCCCTGCCGATGGCCCGGCATTCCCAGCAGAAAGAAAAGCTGAGGTCAGCAGAAAGGTATCCAGGCAGATAACAGGAGTGATGTCATGGCCCCGGAGGGCCTTGAGGGAACTAGAAAGCCATTGGCTGAGGGACCACAGGAGGGAGCTGTGTCTTCCATGCCCTGCCCAGGGTCTTGCTGCTGACTTCTTCTGTTTTTAATATATTTTTATTGATTTCAGAGAGGAAGGGAGAGGGAGAGAGACAGAAGCATCAATGATGAGAATCATTGATTGGCTGCCTCCTGCACGCCCCCTACTGGGGATTAAGCCCACAACCCCGGTATGTGCCCTTAACTGTAATCCAATCTGGGACCCTTCGGTCCACAGGCCTATGCTCCATCCACTGAGCCAAACCGGCTAGGGCGCTAAATTCACTTTTCATAGTTGTTTCATAGATTTCCTGGTATTTTTAAGGTAAATAGTCATATCATCTGCAAATAAAAGATGATTTTATTTTTTCCTTTTATGTAAAGAAATGTATGCAAGTTCCATTTCCACGAGGCTTCTGACATCAGTATCACATAAGTTTGTTTTTATAAAATATATTATTATTGATTTCAGAGAGAAATCGAGAGGGAGAGAGAAACATCAATGATGAGACTCATGGATCGGCTGCCTCCTGCACGCCCCCTACTGGGGATGTGCCTGCAACCAAGGTACATGCTCTTGACCAGAATCAAACCTGGGACCCTTCAGTCCGCAGGCCGACACTTCATCCACTGAGCTATACAGGCTGGGACCCAGGTCAGTTTTGTGTGTATGTGAGGGAGCCCCTCCACTCCACTCCGCAAGCTCCCATTT